GATGCTCAACCAACTTAGCCACCCAGGTGCCCTGAAAAAGATGATATTCTGTGCTCAGTACATTGGAAATCTTTTGATAGAAATGACAATGACAATCTGACAGAAGTGTGAAGAATTAAAAAAATTTTCACATTCTTTGATTCAGTAATTCCACTTCTGGAAATTCATCCTAAAGACATTACTTTTAAAAACAGAAAAAGCTTTATGCAGAGGCTCTTATAAGTAAAAAATTATAAAAAGCCTAAATAACTCAACAGGAATATGATTATCTAAAACACATCTGCCAAGATTATGTATCCCAAAAATATTTACAAAACATGTATAACAAGAAAATACTTATGTTAGTATTCTGTGAGAAAATTCAGTGCAGTTATTTATAAAGAATATATAACATTTGGAAAAAAAATATTCAAAAGAAACCTGAGAAGAAATACATTAAAATACTAATAGGACTTGTTTTTCTACAATACTATTGATGGTGACTTAAAAATTTTTTTTTTGACTTAAAAATTTTTTAAAAATTATCTGTACTGCTTAGTTTCTTCAATGTACAAATACTTTTTTTTTTTAAGATTTTATTTATTTATTTGACAGAGAGAGAGATAGCGAGAGCAGGAACACAAGCAGGGGGAGTGGGAGAGGGAGAAGCAGGCTTTCCACCGAGCAGGGAGCCCAATGTGGGGCTCGATCCCAGGACCCTGGGATCATGACCTGAGCCGAAGGCAGATGCTTAACGACTGAGCCACCCAGGTGCCCCAAATAATACTATCATTTAAAAAAGAAAAAAAAACCCCACTATTTCAAATTTATCTTTTCACCTTCTATGTAAGTTCTTGGTTGTAGGGTTTTAATTTGGCTTTTTTTGTGGTAACAAAAGAGGTATTAATATTTGATGATTTGATTATAACTTCTCAAATATATTGGTATATATTTTAGGCAATATGAATTTATACTGAATTTTTTGCAATAATTCTTTTCATGTATGTTTTCTTTTTCTCTTACTACTTTGGACTCTTCTTAAATGATTGAGAGCATGCTCCTACTGCTCCTCACAACTCTTCAATACAGTGTTGTGTTTATCATGGTTGTATAACAAATACTTCTGCCTAATTTTATTGTTTCTTCATCTGAGTTTATGTGTCACGATGAACTGCACTCCTCTCTAGGGCACTGCATTGTAATTAGTCATTCCAAAGAGGGCTATGGGTTCCTTGAAGACAATTATATTCATTTCTGGACCTCCAGCATCGATCGCTATGCCTAAAACGGAGAGGGATGCAATAAAAGGAACTGAGCAACTGTCATCCTTTGATAATACGTGGACATGATTGACAGGAAAGACACACCTTCTGCTCAAAGACCTGAACTCTGGCTTTGACTCTCATTGAAACATCATGGCCCAGTGTTCAGAGCTCAGAGCTCAGCCTCTGAAGTCACACTTCTTCAGTTTCAGTCCTGTCTCTGCCACTCAGTGGCTGTGTGGTCTGGGCAAGCTACTTAACCTCTCCATGCTGCATTTTCCTAACCTGTAAAATGGGGAATAATAGTATCTACTTCAAAGAGTTGGTAATATATATACATACATAATTGCATACACATAACGTTAGGAAAGAAAATAGGCAAAAGAAACCTGAGAAGAAAGAGCATAGGTATGTATACATACATACATACACACATAACTGGGCCTGGATAAATATATTTATTCTGGGACAATTAAAATGGGATCTTTAATAGTGATATATAAAATTAAAGGCCTTATCATCATATTGGAGGGTTAGAGCTCAATGTCATATTGTTGAGGGAGATTTTATTTAATCTTTAAATTCAATGCCTTAAAAAGTCAAGACATTAGTTGGATGTCTGAAAACATCTGTAACTATGAGTAAATGGGAATTGAGAATCTCAAGATGTGTCCAAATACTTCCTTATAAATACATTATTTTATCTGATGCTTGTAAAATCACTGTGAGGTAGTGACTGAATGACCAGCCAAGGTGGTGTGTGTAACGAAGTGGCACTGTAGGACGCAGATCCGCTGTCCTCTGCATGAGATCTATTATTCTGTCACCATACCAAGTGTGCCTATCTTTAAATTTGTAAGGAAATATAAGTTTTTAAAAAAGATTTTATTTATTTATTTGAGAGAGACAGTGTGTGTGCACAAGCAGGGGGGAGGGTCAGAAGGAGAAGCAGACTCCCCACTGAGCAGGGAGCCCGATGCGGGGCTCGATCCCAGGACCCTGGGATCACGACCTGACCCAAAGGCAGACGCTTAACCGACTGAGCCACCCAGGCGCCCCAATAAAATGTAAGTTTTAAGTTTATTTCTGTAAATCTGAGAAATATGTGAGGATTTCATTCCAGGTCAACATATGGAAAGTTTTAGTCTAGAAGTCTCTCATGAGAATGCGATTCATGTATTTCAAACTGATTTTCATTTATTCCTGGCTATGAATACTCTGAATCAAGATGGGTCCTGTCACTCAAATTGTGTATCTGACATAAAGCTGATTTGGAATTTAAAAATTGCATTTATCTTGCAGAAGTCTCTTCTCGATACTGTCTTTGAAATGAGAGGAGCTTTATCAGGGGATCATCTTATGAAAGCATGGGGCTACACAGAAGCAAACGCATAATTATATGGTCAATTAATCTTTGACAAGGGAGGTAAGAATATGCAATGGGAAAATACCAGTCTGTTCAACAAATGGTGTTGGGAAAACTGGACAGCAACATGCAAAAGAATGAAACTGGACCACCTCCTTACACCATACGCAAAAATAAGATCGATTAAGGACCTCAGTGTGAGACCTGAAACCATAAAATTCCTAGAAGAGAGCACAGGCAGTAATTTCTCTGACATCGACTGTAGCAACATTTTTCTAGATCTGTCTACTGAGGCAAGGGAAACAAAGCAAAAGTAAACTATTGGGACTACATCAAATGAAAAAGCTTCTGTTCAGCAAAAAACAACCAGCAAAACTAAAAGATAACCTACTGAATGGAAGGAGATAGTTGCAAATGACATATCTGATAAAGGGTTATTATCCAAAATATACAAAGAACTTATACAACTCAGCACCCATAAAACAAATAATCCAATTAAAAAATGAGAAGAACAGATGTTTCTCCAAAGAAGACAGATGGCCAACAGACACATGAAAAGATGCTCATCATCACTTATCATCAAGAAAATGCAGATCAAAGCCACAATGAGATATCACCTCACACCCGTCAGATGTCTAAAATAAAAAAAAACTCAAGAAACAACAAGTGTTGGCAAGAATATGGAGAAAAAGGAACCCTCGTACACTGTTGGTGGGAATGCAACCCGGTGCAGCCACTGTGGGAGACAGTATGGAAATTCTTCAAAAAATTAAAAATAGGACTACCCTACCATCTAGTAATTGCACTACTGGCTATTTACCCAAAGAATACAAAAACACTAATTCAAAGGGATACATGCACCACTATGTTTACTGCAGCATTATTTACAGTAGCCAAATTATGGAAGCAGCCCAAATACCCATGGATAGATGAGTAGATAAAGAAAATGTGGTGTGTGTGTGTGTGTATATATGCATTATATGGAATATTATTCAGCCATTAAAAAAAGAAAGAAATCTTGTCATTTGCAACAACATGGTTGGAGCTAGAGAGTGTAACACTTAAGTGAAATAAGTCACTCAGGGAAAGACAAATACCATATGATTTCACTCATATGTAGATTTTTTTTTAAAAAAGATTTTATTTATTTGAGAGAGAGAGAGAGAGCACAAGCAGGGGGAACAGCAGAAGGAGAGGAGGAGCAGTCTCCCTGTTGAAGAGGGAGCCCGATATGAGGCTCGATCCCAGGACCCCAGGATCATGACCTGAGGCGAAGGCAGGTACTTAACTGACTGAGCCACCTAGGTGTCCCTCATATGTAGAGTTTAAGAAACAAAATAAACAAAGGGAAAAAAAAGGCAATCCAAAAAACAGACTCTTAATTATAGAGAACAAACTGATGTTTACCAGAGGGGAGGTAGGTGGGGGGGGGGGGATGCATGAAACAGGTGAAGGGAATTAAGAGTACACATACTGTGATGAGCACTGAGTACTGTAAAGAATTGTTGAATCGCTACATTGTACACCTGAAATGAATACAACACTGCATGTTAACTACACCAGAATTAAAATTTTAAAAATTGCAAAGAATCTAATAAAGATGATCTCATTAGAATTTTATGGATAAAAGCCTCACTATAATAATAGGTTCCAAAAAATAAACTGAACAAAACTATACTTTTGGTGCAAAGTACTTCATTAGTGAGAGGATTTGGATCAGGCTGGTCATAATAAATCCTGATGTGACTGTACCATAATGGTCCTTTGGACCTATTCCATAATAAAGGAGAAGGCCAGACCTATTTAACAAAACACTGGTCCTCCCTATAATGTTCAGTGGGCATCACCTACAATTTACATGGCACTTTAGTTAAGAGGACCACTAAAATGACAAACTGGAATACAGACATTTGAATAGAAACTTTCCTCTCTCTTTCCCTCTCTCCCTTCCTTCCCTTCCTTCTTTCCATTCTTTGTTTCTTTCCATTTTATGTTTTTACAGGCTGGTGACAAAAATACACGTTATACATGTTACACACATGTCATACGCATGTTACAAAAGAGGAACTATTAGAGATTGAGGAGACTAATATTGCTGGGGGGGCAATCAAGACATTCTTCTAGGTTTGGCCAAAAGTTGGAAATCAGGACTGAGACAAACTTGAGTACACATTACCACAGTCTCTAAAACATGCCTGAAATGTAGTGAAAAATTTATCCAAAGTTCAGTGATTCTATATCATTTAGTTTGCTTTTGTTAAAATTAACTCTGATTAGCCACTAGATGTTGTATGATCCAATTTTAATATCATTTATCTTTCTGTTTGTCTAAACTTTTATGTCCATAGGCATAGAGAGATGTCTGGAATAATATTCAACTAAGGGTAACAATGGTTGTTTTCTGAGTGGTAAGAGGAAGTATTTTTGCTTTATTTGTGGTGCTTTTCTTAATTGCTTGAATTTTTAAAATGAGCATACGTCTTTTAAAAAAAATTGAAGTTGTTCTTTAATAAAACCATCCAAAACAATGATTTTCCATTTACTTAGGTCTGGTTAAAAGTGACAAATATGGGATGAGAAGTCACATTGTTAAGCCATTAAAAATTAAGAGGAAAAAAAGTGTAATTATTCTAATTACCAAGGTGAGCAAAGAAAATTTCAGATGTAATGTATCAAAGCCAGAACTCACTCAAAGTAGGCAAACTAAGAAAATAAATAAACATTAAGTATAGTGAAATGCAAAAAACACCTTCTCTCTGCTAAGGCCATTTTCTGCTCAACTGAAGAATTAAATAGAGGGTTTATATATATATTAAAAAAGAAAAAAAAAAAAGGAAAGTGTGGGGCTACACTTGTATCTTCCCAACAGTTAGAAGATGGTAGAACATGGGAACAACAGCATTTCTGCCCTGAAGGCATGTGTAGACCGCGTCCAGGGCGGTTACCTCCATCAGCCCTGCTTAAAGATGGAGTCAACATTTCCTTTGCGGAAAAAAAAAAAGTCAAAGGATGATACACCTGATTCAAGTGCAGCACAAAAGTCCACAAAGGACAATGAGAACACTTTCATAATTTTCAGAGCGCCTAGGGCAAGGTTTCTTTTAGATTCGTGAAAAATTTCCAGGCTCTCTCTATATTTATAATGGGCAGGAAACCATTGCATGAAACCACCTCTCCAATATTGTGCGGCTGGCAGGCTTTGGAAATGACATTAAAACAAAACCACAGACTTCAGTATCTCTGGTGCTGTGTGTCTGTGTGTGTATTCCAAATTAACCCAATCCCCTAAAACCAAACAAAAATTTGTCTATAATTTTAGTGGAATTTTGTGAAAAACTGAACTTCGAGTTGTCAGGAATGACTAATTTATGGAGCATTAGGAAGCATGACTGATTTTGGTGTTAACCTTCCTATTATCTCATTTTATAGTTTTTGACCTGATTCACATTTATCAGACATTTCTGTGTATAAAGCAAATGAACAAAACATTGTATTACTTGATAGTGTAACATAGTTATCTTTGTCAATAATAGACTCTCAAAAAAGGGAGCAAATGTTTCAATGTATTCATTGTAAAACCACCTATGCCAAATTTTTTTTAATTTTTAAAATTTTTTATTTAAATTCAATTTAGTTAACATATAGTGTATTATTAGTTTCAGGGGTAGAATTCAGTGATTCCTCAGTTGCATATCTCATCAAGTGCCCTCCTTAATACCCATCACCCAGTTATCCCATCCCCACCCACCTCCCCTCGAGCAACCCTGTTTGTTCTCTATAGTTAGGAGTCTCTTATGGTTTGCTTCCCTCTCTGTTTTTATCTTATTTTTCCTTTCTTTCCTTTATGTTCATGTGTTTTGTTTCTTCAATTCCACATATGAGTGAGATCATATGATAATTGTCTTTCTCTGACAGACTTACTTTGCTTAGCATAATCCCCTCTAGTTCCATTCACGTCGTTGCAAATGTATGCCGAATTCAATATATATTCAGTGACTCCTCCTTCTTGTCTTTTTGCATGTCCATCCATTTTTTTCTAGTGCAACAGGGACCAAGCTTCTAAAACGAGGACTGCTGTGTGTATATTTTCAATGTTTTAGAAGAGCAGTGCTTAAGCAGGTTAAACTAACTGCGTGGGTTAAAAAGACCCCTGACCGCACAGCCAATGGCTGAAAAACATCAGACGTGTTACCTCCCTTGTTAATTATAATTAGGGCTGAAATTTTTCTTCTGCAGTAATTCAAACAAAAAAATGCTGGATATTAAGAAAAATCCTATTTGAAACCCAGGGAGAAAGCCTACCTGGATCTGGATGCCTGGGTGCAAAGGCCAGGTCTATTTCCCACATTTCGCTCCTTTTGTCATTTTCAGTTCGTCATTGTATAAAACATGATAAAGACAATGGTTCCCTGCCTTTGTAATTTCAATATGTATTCACGACATCGAGACACGTTTGTTGACTCACCAATTTCATTCTGCAGAGAAAGATTCCGAGACAAATTTCTCAGCAGGGAGACCGCCGTCTTTTTCACACTTGGATCACCAACATGCAGCATCTTGCGGGTGTGCTGAAGGCCATTTTCCTTCTGGACAACTGTCTGAGCTACTGACGTCGGCATCTGTTGCATGAGACATGTCTTATCAGTACTATTGCCTTTTGACTTCACGCTAATATTAAATTTCTGTAGATTATTAGAGACTGAGCAAGATGTTTTGAAAACTAAGCTGTGATGAAACTAGTCTGAAGATATTTCCTTTAAATTCTTATGTTTTCAGGGGCGCCTGGGTGGCTCAGTTCATTAAGTGTCTGCCTTTGGCTCAGGTCATGATCCCGGGGTCATAGGAGTCTGCTTCTCCCTCTCCTTCTGCCCCTCTCCCTGTTCATGCTCTCTCTGCCTCTCTCAAATAAATAAATAAAATTAAAAAAAAAATTCTTATTACATTTTCAATTTTATTACAGGATAAAAACAGCTTATTTGGTATTTTTAAATAGAACACTAGATTTGGTTAGTTTCTATGTTTTTGCATGTTTATAAATAAAATGGGCCTGTCTTTTCCTTTATTTCCTCTTTATTCCCATTTTCAGCTCAGCATTGTGAAAAGGATATAAGGACAATGTTTTAGAATCAAACACTAGTGTCATGAAATTAGTTGCATCATGTTTTCCCTTTTTCTATTTTCTTGAACTATTTGTTTAATACAAGAATAATCCCAACTTTGTGGGCCTCGTGGAATTTACCTATAAAGACAACTGAGCTGAGAAAAATTTTAAAGGGAGATGTCTTTAATATTTCAGCATATTTGCTCGCTGTTGCTTTGGTCACCTTCTTGCTCACATTTTGGTATTTTACATATTTTAATAAACTTATTCATTTCTAAGAAGTCAGCTTATTCTGAAAGAGATATTGGGCTTTTAAAGAAAAGAATGTATGGCTAGTTCGATTTAATTTTACATTCTCAATCAGAGGTTGTATGTGCAAATCATATTTGGAATCAGGCTGGCCACCTACTTTCAGGGGGTCTGAGTACTGACCAGAACCTTCCTAGCATCAATAAACTTCTAATACTGGGGTCTCAGCTTATATCTAAAACTTTATAGATTTGTATTTGAAGCTAACTTGAGGCCACCTGCCAGAAATTCCTAAAATTCTTGACCATTCTTCAGGGTGTCTATCTTCTCTGTTTCTCTTATCTAAACACTGCTTATTTCCCCCACCTCCGGCAGACTGCTCTCCTTACATTCTCCACTATACTTTTTAGAACAGGGGTTCTTAATATAGGGCCCAGGATAGGTTTCAGGGAGGGGACAGGAGGTCCTTAAAACTGTTTCAGTATTGGGGCACCTGGCTGGCTCAGCTGGTGGAGCCTGCGGCTCTTGATCTTTGAGTTGTGAGTTCGAGCCCCACTTTGGGTATAGAGATTACTTAAATATTAAAAAAAAATCGGGGGCGCCTGGGTGGCTCAGTCGTTAAGTGTTTGCCTTCGGCTCAGGTCATGATCCTGGACTCCAGGGATCAAGAGTGATGCACTGGGCTTCCTGCTCAGTGGGAGTCTGCTTCTCCCTGTGACCCACCCCCCTCTCAGGCTCTCCCTCTCTCATTCCCTCTCTTTCAAATGAATAAATAAAATCTTTAAGAAAATAAAGTGTTTTAGAAATTTGAAAAGTGCTTATTTCAATGACTTTTAACTTTGGCTATATGACGTTTAACTTATTTCTATTGATACATAACTGACACATAACACTGTAATAGTTTTAGGTGTAAAACATAATGATTTGATATACCTATATACTGCAAAATAATTACAATAAGTTAATATTCATCACCGCACATGATTACAACTTTTTTCTTCTTATGATGAGAACTTTTAAGATTTATTCTCCTAGTAACTTTCAAATATACAATACAGTATTGTTAAGTGTAGTCACGATGCTGTGCATTATATCTTCGGGACTTACTTATCTTCTAATAGAAAATCTGTACCTTAATCTTTTCTTTTTTTGTACCTTAATCTTTTGATTTCTGTACTTACAGAGTTTGCTAAATGGGTAAATATTATTAATTCTTTCTCTTTCCTTACTTATTATTAGAATGACCACTATATCTAAACCAATAAAGTTTAATACTGACTAGAAATTACTGTCATAATTTTATACTTAAATTACATAACCAATCTTTTAGGAAGCTACTCATTTCAGTTTAGGTTCTTTGCCATTTCAGGCACATGGCCATCAACTGCTCAGCGCTATCTCAGTTATGAACACAAGGTTAATGGACTGGATGTTTTCTGAAACTATTTTAAATGCTTTGCTTTTCGTGTTTTCCTATTCAATGATTCTTTTTAGAAATTCTAAGAACAAGTATTTTTTATCATACAATTTAAGCATAACAAAATTAGGAAAAGTAATAATTAGAAAGGATATATATGTCAAAATTTTAATAAAAAGCATCTTGTAACTTAAAAGAACATTTCACTGTCTCATGGTGCTAATGATTTTCTCCTATAAATCTCCAGTCAAATTAAACTCTAACAACTTGAGTACAGGTTCATACCAGTTCAGTGTAGGTTTCCTTTCAGGGGACCAGACTGGTTTAACGTTAGGTATGATTTTAAATGCCTTGACACAATTAGGACAGTTATGAGGATATCTCCAATGCTTGGACTCCTTTTGGACTTGGAATCTCCTAGTACCTTAGATTTCTTTTTATGTATTTATCCCAGTTAGATTATTACCAAGCACAGGGATTTTGTCTTATTCACTGCTACATACTTAGCACTAGGCTAGTTAGTACCTGCTATAGTAGGTGCTCAAAAAATGAATAAAGGAACTTAAGATCTAGGTAGTACACTACATATTCAGAACTTAAGTGGCATAAATATTTCTATCCTTAGGAACATGGAAACATCTCTGGACTGTTTGGAGTCCATGAGAGATCTTGGAATGGAAGAGGCTAAAATGCAGGCTTAATGGGTTAGCTCGTACTAAAAAAAAAAAAAAAATGGGTTAGCTCGTACTGAAACATACTCAGAGCACAGGGAACTCAGATATGCACACACATAGGTGCACACCGCGTTAATTCCTGACGTTTTCTTTGAAGTCGGCTGGGAGTTAATAAGAGGGCTTCCGTAGTTTGGGAAAGTGAAAGAAATGGTTTTGGGAAACCTAGCATGGGAAAATGAGAAGGTATGATGACTGTGCATCATTCAGGGCTCCCTGGTAGTTTCTTGTTCCCTCCTCTTTGTGCACAAGTAAATTTTGCAGAAAATCAGAGATAAAAAAAAAAAACTTTTAAGATTTTATTTATTTATTTGACAGAGAGAGAGACAGGGAGAGAGGGAACACAAGCAGGGGGAGTGGGAGAGGGAGAGGCAGGCTTCCCGCTGAGCAGGGAGCCCAACGCGGGGCTCGATTCCAGGCCTCTGGGATCATGACCTGAGCTAAGACAGACACTTAATGACTGGGCCACTCAGGCACCCCTAGATTTTATTTTTAAGTAATCTCTACACCCAACATGGGGCTCAAACTTACAACTCCAAGATCAAGAGTCCCATGATCTACTGAATGAGTCAGCCAGGTGCCCTAAGTTTGGTCATATTCTTAACCACAGTGCTAAGATAAGAGAAATACTGGTTTTAGTTATTTCACAATTTTGTTCAAAACAGGGCAAGCTTCTTTGTAAACACATTAAAGAACGAATATGGTTTCTCAAGAATAAATAATATTTTTGTTATCTACAAGAGTACTCTTCTCTATGCGGATGGATAATTGGAAATTGGACATATAATGGACAACTTTGTGTGTGTTTATTCTAATAATTTTATGATCAAGACAAAGAATATAAGCTTAGTTCAAATAACTAAATATTCATAGAATCCTAACTGTGTAGTACGGTGTAAAATACATAGGGAGAGGAATAAGCTTTTACTGTTTTATATATTTTGACTTTGCTGGTATAAAGTAAGTGCATCAGGAAGAGAAGCAGCTCTTTATTTTGTAGTTGAATTTCTGGGACGTAAAAGCACAGATGTCCTTTCCAACTCCATACACAGTGGACATCTGTTGTTTTTGCCTGGGCAGCACTCATTCTTCCTTTTGCTAATGAGCAGCTCCTTTAGCATTTCAGTCCATGTGGTCCCAGTGGCAATGACCCTGCCTGTTCAAACCCATGCCCTTGAAATTCACAGGTGGGCATATCCCCCAGACCTGGCCAGTCAGAACATCAACAGGCTCCTAGCCACAGGTTCAGATATGGGCAAGTGAGACTCATTTCTTGAGTTCCAAATGGAGCTATTCAGTAAATAGTAGTTTCTTTTCTGTGGGGACATTGGGTAGATAAAATGTAAGTCTGAAATCATTGGTGACCTTTGTTATCATATGAGAAGAGCCTTTGAGAATAAAAAAGGGGAAGAGGGAACCCAGAGATAGAGTTACAATTACAACTGCTAGGACACCTACCTACCATGACAGAAAGAAGACTCACCTTGACTTTCCAGTTAAATGGGCCAAGATATTCCTCTTTTTTGCCCAGGCCAGTTTAGGTAGGATTCTGAGACTTATAACTGAAAGAGCTCTAATATAAATATCTAGGAGCCTTTCACTCACAGCCTAACTTGGCTCTGCAGAAACTGAGGCTGAAAGTCCTAGAAAGCTGGACCTCTTGCTGGCAATTACTGAGAACTGTCTTGACTGAAGAGAAAAAACTTTTCCCTTACTTCACTGTCTCATTTCTGAACCTAATGTAGGTATGTCCCACAATGTCATTATTTTTATAAAGCAGAAGAACAGGGGTGATACTCACTGGTCCACTTCCTGCAGTGAGATTCTGCAAAGCTCCCAAAGATGCTTCCTGAGTGTAGTTTCGGACACTCTTGGCAATCAAGGACAAATACATCCGTATCACGATGGAATGCCATAGCCATTCCACACCCTTCGGGTTGCTCTTTTCTTCCGGCATCGGCATGTCCTGATATTGCTAACCACGTACACAGTGAAATCCAGAATTAATGCCTTCCAGTGATTTCTAGAATTCCACACCCAAACTAAGGGACCAGAAAAACCATTTAGTCTAGAGAGACTGACAATTTGCCTAATAACAAGCCCCTGATATGGAAATGAAAAAGCAAATATGATTTCCAAGCAGTTAACATTTAGCTCATAATGTCTATTTCTCCTTAACAACACCCCAACTTTATATTTCATAGTGAGAGAAAACTCGAGAATGAAGCATAGGCTATTCTAGAATAGTTTTCAGGCTGCTGTTAAGCTAAAAGCTAAATTAGTCACAACCACTGTGGAGATAAGAAAAACAGGCCTCTTCCCTCAGTCTTGTGAAGTTGTCTGGGATAACATCAGGATTCTAAATTTACCAGTTGCTCTCCAAGTTCACAAATACGTACCACGATAGTCTGAGGAACAGGAGGGGTTATATTCTTCCAGTTTTCATGAAACGCCAGTAGGGACAGTATTCCTTCGTATGGATGTACTTTTAGGATACCCAGAGCTAAACATCAGCGTTGCTTTTAACTTTACACAGTCTATACACCACTGGCTACGCTGTATTAAGCTTATTTCCTAACTTATAAAGCATACAGCAGTGGGTACAGTGGTTAACAATGCAAATCTGTAGCCAGACGACCTGGGATTGAATTCCACCCCCTCTTATAATTTCCTGGATTTTGGGGGGGGGAAATTAGCCATTCTGTACTTCCGTTTCTTCGTCAATAAATGAGGATATTAATAATACACACCTCGTAAGGTTGATGTAAGGATTAAAACAACTTAAAATAGTGCCCGACATACACTAAGTACTCAGAGATACACACATACACACTTTTTCTTTCAAAGTCCTTCCAACATACCTCTTTTATTTTCCTGCTTCGACTGCCAAAACACCCAATACTTTTGTTGTTGTCAGTCTGGATCGTCTGGTTTTGAATATAGATACTCTGGGAATATCTATCTGGGAGCTCTGCCTCCAGCTGGTAGGAGAGGTTATGAAGAATGCACACACAGTTCTCTGTGGCCTGAGAAAACAGGAGATGAATACTGATCATAGACATACAGACGTCCCTCTGCAGTGTGCTACCACAGGACGTGCTATGCTTTCGGTCTTACACAGTTTAGTAGATGCGGTGGGGTGTGCTTGGACGGTGTCTGGGGGAGTGGAATGAGTGTGGCTAGATCATGAATGGTCACGAGCACAATGCTAAGAAGTAGAGGCTGGATTTCTTAAACCACTGGAGAGCCTTTCTGGTTTACTTTGAAGAGTGTGTTCAGACGATTCTATATTTTATGATACGTAATTTGGTAGCCACATGGAGCTGGAAAACAGAAGAACTGTTTGCAGGACCCGTTAGGAAGCTATTGCATGGTAAGTATGAAAGATGCACAAACCAGGGCAGCAGTCACGGCATGAGGGAGGAGGAGCGCGCCAGCTGAAGGGTGTTTCCGAGGTGGCACGCACATGGTTTGCTGCCTGAGGGACACAGGGTGTGAGCGAAGGCAAGCAGGCAGCCAGAGATCATGCACATTTCTACTTTCATTTGGTGGGTGGGGATAATTATTAAGAAGGATTATTCAGGGGCGCCTGGATGGCTCAGGCGTTAAGCGTCTGCCTTCGGCTCAGGTCATGATCCCAGGGTCCTGGGATCGAGTCCCACATCGGGCTCCCTGCTCTGTGGGGAGCCTGCTTCTCCCTCTCCTGCTCCCCCTGCTTGTGTTCCCTCTCTCGCTGTGTCTCTCTCTCTGTCAAATAAATAAGTAAAATCTTTAAAAAAAAAAGAAAAAAGAAGAAGAAGGATTATTCAGAGAAGGAGCAAGTTTGGGAATAAGGGAAGAGATGAACTTAAGTTCATTATTGCACACGGAACTCTTGGGCTCCTTTCAAATACCTACATAGAGTTGTTAAACAGGTAGTTGTAAACTGGGGTCTGGAAAGTAGACAGAAAAATGGGGCTAGGTAGATTTTAATATTTCTAAGCATGGATGGGAAACTTTAAGCTTAGCAAGTGAGTTAATGAATAAAGCTAAACCCAAACAGAATACTTCCAGAATCCTCTGAAGCATCTTAGTAAGACAAAGTAAGTAATTCAAACAAGAGATATTTAACCCACGAATCACCTTGTCATCTGGCTGGTAGTCTGCGATGGTTCCTCTGACATAATGGACCAGCGAGTCGATCAGTCCGTCACACCTTCTCATCACTTTCCTCCCATCAGGGCCGGCCGAACTCATGTTTCTATCAGGAAAAACAACCAACCGTTAAGACTTAAGCTGTGTATCTAATAGGCCTTCGTTTCAAAGCTTTATTTGATTGATGCTGCTTCCAAGTGTTTGGAAAACTGACAAATTTGTAAAAGAGTGGCAGACAGGTCCTGGGGTCAGTTCATTATCAATTGCCTGATGGTCATCAAATCTGGACACAACCTCTAACTATATTCCTATAACATGTCATCGGGTCAGTAAAAGCTTTCTGTCTACTTCACTTCAAGCACCAAGGGCACAGCATCATTTACTTAATCTGCAATCTGTTTCTGAGAGGGTACACATGAAGCAAACACTCTGCACCTAAAAGAACAAATGGATCATTTGACGTAGCAGTATACTAGATGTCCAAGTGCCAACCTATTCTGTGTCTTAACTCTATGTAAGTTAAAGTGACTTAAATTCTCTGGGCCTCAGTTTCCTCATTTGTAAAGACATGATGTTGGACTCTACTATTTTGGGGTTTTGTAGCTTTCAGTGTAAATAATTATTGACAAATATCAAACCAGATATTCTAAAATGTGATGATTTTATAATTAAAATGGCAGAGAGATGTGACAAGAATGCAAAGTTCCACAGTGTGTTAAGACCTAAGTCAAAAGCATGACCTATAAATATCTTTGCACTTAATCTATTTCTAATTTTGCTAGGCCATGACACCTTTCTATAAACAGTACCTACATCTACAAGTGGAGGTAGCTTCCCTATAGAGAATTGAAACTTATCAAATCCAGCAAGGTAATTTATTTGGGGATCAAATTTCAAATTCAGAATCTTAATTGCTAAGAACTATTCCTATAAAATTTATCAGACCGGTTTTTTGTTTTTGTTTTTTTTTTTACTGGTAGGTAGAGTATTCAAAGTATATTCAAAAGTTTTTGTTTATAACGTCTCTGTCAGACTGAACATCAAAAGAACTACAATTCTGAGAACTTTTTGGGTCTTATTTTCTTCATCTGTAAAACAATATATTGCATTAAGTGATTTCAAAAAGGCTTTCTGCCCCAAAATACTGCTTTCAATACATACTATATCAGAGAACAAATGTACCCAGCATGGTATCAAGAACTAATGGGAACAAGAAAGGAACACACAGCATTGTACCCTGCTTCCCATGAAAATCACATCCATAGGATGAACTTGATGATACAAGACTGTTTTTAACCCACAGAAATGTAATTTCATGATTCAACCTAATAGTTGAGATGAGACTAATATATTTAAACTAAGGATATACAAAAATTTAATGGTTGTTGGGCTGATACAATGAATTTTTAATTTTAAGAAAATCCTTTGTGACTTTGGTTTTCATTCGACTATTCCAATTAAAGATTTACCTCAATTTTTACTGTACCTAAAAAACTGACACTTTGTCCATTAACAAAAGACAATGCATGGGTTTATAAACTAAACTGAACCATTTTTACTATAGCTTTTTTTCTCAAGAAATGATCATTTGAACCAAGATCCTGTATCTATTCTCTGAAGAAGCCTGACAGAAACTGAAAAAGCATCTTTTCCAGTCATCTTCTTTTTTTTTTTTTTTTAAAGATTTTATTTATTTAAGAGAGAGAATGAGAGACAGAGAGCATGAGAGGGGGGAGGGTCAGAGGGAGAAGCAGACTCCCTGCTGAGCAGGGAGCCCGATGCGGGACTCGATCCCGGGACTCCAGGATCATGACCTGAGCCGAAGGCAGTCGCTTAACCAACTGAGCCAACCAGGCGCCCTCCAGTCATCTTCTTTTACACATGGAGAAACGGAGGTCCAAAGAATTTAAAAGTTACTTTTCCCAGTGACAGCATAGTAGTGGTCAAGTCAGAATAGGAGAGCTGCTCTTTATTCTGTTCTCAGGGGCGGCTCCAGAATAGAGCACACCTCATCAACATTCATTCACTCTGTCATTTGCTTAGCAAATACCAGATGTCCCCCAACTCCAAGACAGCGTTATCACATCTTTTAAAGTTTCCCCTTGACCTTTTCAACCTCTGGCTTGGAGAAATGGCAGTAGTTTAAAATTGCTTTGACAAATCAAAAGGTTTCTGACTAGCTAAAGCTGCCACATACCTTGCAGATGGATGACCTAGCTTTGTTAAACTTCAGGGTGTTTATTTTGGGTACGAATGGTAATTCGCTTTGGTGGGACTGCCAGTTCACATGCACGGACTCTTGTCTCGTAGTTTGGTATTATCCAGACTCTACGTGCTTAAAATGGGACTTATCAGGGTTTTCTGGCACTCGACATCTTTGTTGACAGAAAGTGTAACCCCACTGCTTCAGTATTTGCTCCTGCATATCAAAAATAGTTCCTACCTTACTCAACTGCCCAGAAATATGAATGATAAGGGTGGATTATTTTATAGCACTACATCCATGAATAGAAGTCACTAGTCAGAAAGGAATTTGTTATTGTACCACTCTGAAAATAAGCAGTAATTATGAAAGTGATATATCTATCTTAAGGGACTAAAACATTTTTTTCAACAGCTAGTACTTAAGTTTGTGGAAATCAGAGAATTACCACGGCTAATCTTAGGCAGAATGGAAGCTTTTACAATGTATCTACCAAACCCTGAGAAATATTTATTTATAACTATTTCCTCTATGTAGCCCAAAAGAGGTTTAATATGAAAAATATCCCACAGTTATAAATGAAACAGTATCAAATATCGATATATGGAAACAATTATCTTATTGAAAAGTAAAAAAGAATGAGCATACACACTACTCAATAAAAATTGATTATCAGAGTTACCAATGAATATATTAGAAATGTTTAATTTAGTGTCTATGATTTTAACTCAATTAGATGATGGTTTTACTTCCCCTGGTATAATCTGGACAAAGGCTGAGTAAATATGTGGGCAACTTCCAGGAAACCAAAATATGTATGCTGTTGTACACTGAAATTTAAAAACCAGATCCTTGGACTGGGGGGTTGGAGGCTGGTGGGAGAAGTGGGGAATATAAACTCTTCCCACAAAGGCAGGATTGTTTTGGAGCTCTTCATCTTCCCTGAGCCAGAATAGGGGGAACACTAGCTTGATCAGTTACTTATGCTTGATATGAGGAAGAATTTTTCTGGTAATAGGACTTGTTAAGCGTGGCGGAAAAAAACAGAATCTGAACCTCTGCATGTCTCTGAACAAAACTTTACAGATTTAGGAAGATTCAGGTGTTTTATCTAAAAGCAAATCAATGACTGATGACTGTCTCTAGGACCACTTTTCTCACACATTCCTGTGTGTCATAACGAAAAGGACAAAAGAAAACCAAACACTCAGGACTTTGCTAGAATTGAAAGAATGGTATGTCTTTGTTAGATTAATGACAGGGTGACTAAACCTTAAATTCATAGGGCAAACCAAAAAATGGACAATGTCAAATGATAAAGACAACCGCAACTCAGTGTGTGTGATAGACATTGCAGTAGGCACTTCACAAATACTGTTATCTGTAATTTTCACAAAATTCTCCAAATTGGGGCATGCTAAAATTTCATTTGGAATCCTGACCTGTGACTCTTGTTTAAAATCAGAATTCCCTGCTTCTAGTAGGCTTTTTACTGGCCCGTCCATAAAAAGTTATGTGTGTGCGGCTGCGTGCAGGCTGTTACAGCTAGTTGGCCAGCACCGGCAGGAAGTTTGTCACAACACAGAATGTCCAAAGCTCGGTGTGTGGTGTATGGTCAGCTAGCGTGGGGAAATGAACACTGTATGTTAACTATACCGGAATTAAAAAATAATTAAAAAAAAAAAAAGACTACAATTACTTACCAGATCTGAGAATGGCAGACAACATAATAATATGGTTAAAGTGAGTCTTTTCAAGACACTTCACCAACAAGTAATTCTAAGAGGCAGAGATTTTTTTTTTTTAATGGGGCAATACCTACTAATAATAGGTGTAGTTTCCTCCTAACACACAGGTTACGTGTGTGTCACATACAAGACCTACTGCCTATGGGGCCAGTCTTCAAGGTCTAGCTAGCATACTGAAAGAGTGATCACCTTGATGGTTTTACAAATATCGTAGGTACATATTCACGTTCACCAACAACTATAGGATTTCTAATATCATGTATCGTAAACTGTGCAATAAGGCCCCAGTCCACTAAGTGCTTGGAGTCCATTCTAAGACCCAACGGGCACTTGATAAAGAGATTGGTGGATAAGGAGGCGTCCTTCTTCCTCTTGTTATTTGAGATTTAGGGCTGGGCTTTTGTTTATCTCTCAGCTGATATATATCAAACAGTTGGGCCTTGTCTGTGAGTAACCCAGAGAAAGCAGCAGAAGCAGCTTGTTATTGCCCAGAACAAAAGGGGAGCCTCATTTGAACTGGCAGAGGGACAAAAACTCTTTGCCAAGAAAAGGGATTGTCTGTTACCCTAAAGTCAACATCAGTTCCTGAAGGTATCTGCAGATATCAGTCAAAGTCAACTGTTTGGTCTGCAAACAGAAGCATCATTGGGAGGTAGAACAAAGCTCTCCCACGTACATGTCTTGTTCCTTCCAGGATAAAGGAACATTAACCGAACAAAGATATGTCAGCATCTATTACACATCAAGAAACCAGAAGGCAGAGGAAGAGAAAATCTATCCTTAAAAATCCTTTGGTTTTGCTTTCCTGTATTTTTCGGATCTTCTAAAAGTATTCTGAATAATCAATGTAGCCAGCAATCATCTGGTTGGTAGGTAACAGTCACTTCCTTTGGATTTAGCTGGCTGTTCAAGGTAGAATGCCAAATTCCATTTCAAATCAATTATAAACAGCGAACTAATTTTTGTAATATGCCTGGGAGCCACTGGAACTTGAATAGACATTCTTGACACCTAAAGGAGATTTCTCAAATGCCAGACAACGATTGATGAAGATGCTTAAGACTTAGAGTAAAATCATATGATGCTCAGATGGTCTGCACCTCCAATACAGGCACAGATTTTAATCATAGGATAGCAACAAAGTCATCAGCTGCT